AAATCTCTTGCTGGGAGGTGTTAATCTGTGCCTGGTTGTTTCCTCTCTGTTGTTTTGCTGTTGTAATTTTAGAGTTTTTTAATACTGGTAGCCAGATTTTGTTCATTTTCATGGTTTCCTCCTTTCTGTTGAAATTGTCCACATGCTTGTGGATTTCAATGGCTTCTCTGTGTAGTCTGACATGGTGGTTGTTGGTGTGGTCCAGCATTTCTGTGTTCTCAAATAATATGCTGTGTCCAGGTTGGTTCATCAGGTGCTCTGCTATGGCTGACTTCTCTGGTTGAAGTAGTCTGCAGTGCCTTTCATGTTCCTTGATGCGTGTCTGGGCTCTGCGTTTGGTGGTCCCTATGTAGACACCTAACTGCAGCAGGGAAGATCTCCTTGCCCCACCCCAGCCATTCCACAGATATATAAACCCATTGTCCTAATTCCAACAGACCTCACTACCTCTGAGGATGCTTGCCATAGATGCAGGCGAAACGTCAGGAGAAATGCCTCTAGAACATGGCTCTATAGCCCGAAAAAACCCACAAGAACCTTGTGAAGAACTTGTCATTGTGGGCATTGTACTTTCCATCCCAAGTAGGCTGTTGCTGTCATCCATGGCTGAGATTAACAATTACTTCTGGGGTTGGTAATCTAAAGATTGAGTAAGGAGGATGTTTGGCTGTAAGAAGGGAAGGCAGAAAAGGTAGGTGTCAACTAATTGTTCTGCCAAGTAAGAGGCAATCCATATGCAAAATATGCTGTTCAATAATAATAATAATAATAATAATAATATTTCTAGATCACTCTCTCTCCCCAAAGAGACTCAGGGCGGTTTACACACACAAAAACTTGTGTGCCAGCTGCACCCATACCTTGGGAAGTCAGACTTGGCCACGGTGATCCAGTCTCATTACATCCAGGATGGACTACTGCAACACACTCTATTTTGAAGGCTGTTCAGAAGCTTCAAATAGCCCAGGGAGAGGCAGCCAGGTTAATAACTGGAACTGCATACAGGGAGCACTCAACTCACATGTTACATCAGCTCCACTGGCCTGCCTGTTTGCTACCGGGCACAATTCAAAGTGCTGGCTTTGGCCTATAAACTCCTAAACGGCCCCGGCCCAGTTTACCTGTCTGAACACATCTCCTTTTACGAACCACCACAAAGACTAAGTCTTCTGGGGAGGCCCTGCTCTTGGTCTCGCCACCGTCACAGGCGCGTTTGGCATGGATGAGAGACAGAGCCTTCTCAGTGATTGTCCCCTGGCTATGGAACTCCCTTCCTGACAATATTAGATCATCCCCTCCCTCCTGTCTTTCAGAAGGCTGTGGCACCAAGCCTTTGGGGCAGTGCAATGAGATAATAATAGAATGATGTCCAAAGATAGTTTTTAAGCAACTGATTTTAAAGTGGATATAAGTTATTTTAATGTTTTTGTATATATATGGTTTTATGTCCCGGCATTGAATGTTTACCTTATATATGTTGTGTTCCATCCTGAGTCCCCTGCGGGGTGAGAAGGTGGGAGGAATATAAATGTTTCAAATAAATAAATAGAAAAGGCAAGTATTCAATGCCTCAGATGAGTACAAACATATCATAATAATACACAATAAAGCAACAGTAATGACAGTGAGCTTACGATGAAGAATTAAGCATTGTGATGAAAAATAAAACAAATCAATCCAATAAAACATAGTTTACATAAAATATGTAAACATTAGAACAAATACCCTAAAAGCAATATAAAGTACGGTTACATTAAAAATGTCATTTGAAATGTAACGTGGCAGCCATATACTACAAGTGAGACTAGCCAGCATTCCAAGTAGTTAAAGTGTCTTACTTCTCCTCTTCTCCATATGCTAAAGTGCATAGGTGCATTTTTAGAAGTTTCTTAAAGGAGAGGAGGATGGGGGCCATTTTTACTTCTTTAGGGAGGGAGCTCCAGAGACAGTAAGCGATCACGGAGAAGTTTATTTATTTATTTATTATTTGAACTTATATGCCGCCACTCCCCTGGGGCTCGGAGGCTTACAAGAACGGCTAAAATCGAACACAATTTAAAACAATTTAAAAACAATCAGAGATCAAAGGCCCGTCGAAATAGATATGTCTTACATGCCCTGCGGAAAGCTGATAAATCCCGCAAGGCACGGACTTCAGGTGGCAGAGTATTCCAGAGTGATGGTGCCACTGCTGTGAAGGCTCTGCATCTGGTTGCTGTTAGACGCAAGGTCTTGACACTGGGGACTTCCAATAGATCTTGGTCCTCAGAATGGAGGGATCTCTGGGGTTGGTAGGGGGTGAGGCGGTCCCTCAGATACATCGGCCCCAGACCATGCAAGGCCTTAAAGGTGAGTACCATCACTTTGAAAGTGATCCGGTGCTCAACTGGTAACCAATGCAGCTGTAGTAAGATTGGGGTTATGTGGCATCTCATCGGAATTCCCGCAAGAAGCCGAGCAGCTGCATTTTGTACCAACTTGAGCTTCCGGATCACCGACAGAGGAAGGCCAATGTAGAGGGCGTTACAGTAGTCCAGTCTTGAGATGACCATAGCCTGGATCACCATAGCTAGGTCGTCCCTGGACAGGTAGGGGGCCAGCCGTCTAGCCTGCCGCAGATGAAAAAAGGCGGTTCTGCTAACGGCGGAGACTTGGGCCTCCGTCGTCAGCAGAGGGTCCAGTCTCTCGTTCTCACCAAACGAGCTTGAGACAGGGGTGGGACCGAGAGGAGGGCCTCCTCCATTGACTGCAGTGCACGGGATGGTCTGAATAGGGAGATGCGATTAGACAGATCGCCTGTACCCGAACAGTTTAGGGCTTTCTAGGTAATGACCAGCACTTTGTATTTAACCCAGAAGTGGACTGGCAGCCAGTAATTCATACAGAATTAACAACAGCTTGGGATAGCAGAACAAAAGTCATGGACCACTACTGGTCCTGAGCCACTGACTCTCAATCCCTGATTAATTTCCAGGAATGAAATAAGAAATTGCACTGAAGGGGAACTAATATAATACTAGTTCCCCCTTTAACTAGACTAAGAAGCACTGGCTTATTTATTTATTTAGTTATTTCTTTGTTTACCTTATTTATATCATGCCTTTCTCTACCCCAAGGGGAGTCAAGGCGGCTTACATATGGCACCTACACAGTGCCTTAGGACATACAAATGTTAACTTAAAATAAATTGGATTAAAATTAATATATATCAAACATAATTAAAATACATTCCAAAATTAAAAATACATCATCCAGGAATCAAAGTATAAGGCTGTTCCATAATCAATTGCACATATTCCAGATTGAAATGATTGCACTGTGCTATTTTTCGACAGCCTGCTCACAGAGCCAGGTTTTTACTCTCCTTCTAAAGATTATGAGGGAGGGAGCTGATCTAATATCGCTAGGGAGGAGTTCCACAGCTAAGGGGCCACCACTATGAAGGCCCTGTCTCTCATCCTCACCAATCACGCTTGTGAAGAAGGTGGGACCGAGAACAGGCTCTCTGCAGACAATCTTAATCTCTGTGGTGGTTTATAGGGGGAGATACATTTGGACAAATAAACTAGGCTAGAACTGTTTAGGGCTTTATAGGCTAAAGCCATCACTTGGATTGTGCTTGGTAGCAGACTGGCAGCCAGTGGAGCTGACATAACAAGGGGTTGTATGCTCCCTGTACCCCGCTTGGCTTCCACCCGTTGGACCAATTGAGCTTCCAAACAGCCTTCAAAGGCAACCCCACGTAGAGTGCGTTGCAGTAATCTATATGGGGTGTAACCATATAGGGGCCTTTTCGGTGGTGGCCCCTCGACACTGGAACTCACTCCCTAAAGACATCAGACAGGCTCCAACTCTGGCAGTCTTCAGGAGGAGCTTGAAGACGTGGCTGTTCCAGTGTGCCTTCCGGAATAATGATCCCATAGCACTTTGTCCTCCAAAGCACTTTACATTCTTTAAGTCTGCTCGTATGCCCTTCCACAAACACCAGTATCACCTTTCGTTCATGTCCCAGCATTATTTCCAATTTTAACTCTACATTTGGCCTTCCCACTGTTTTTAATTATGTGTTGTTTTATTGATAATGTTGTGTATTTTATTGTCTATGTTTTTTAATTGCTTGTATTGTTGTTATTATTGCTTGTATTGTTGTGTTTGGGCTCAGCCTCATGTAAGCCACACCGAGTCCCTAGGGGAGATGGTAGCGGGGTACAAATAAAGTGTTATTATTATTATTAACCAGAGCATGGACCACCATTGCCATGTCTGACTCAGGAGGCATGATCACACTGTTACATTAATGAATTATATTGCTGTTACTACTATTATTATATATTTAGTAGACTTCAAGATAGTTCAGGACTTGTTATTTTTAATGCAAGGGTTTTCCTAAAAAGGAAATGGGAGGGGTGTTATTCAGAGCAATCTATCTAGAAGAGCAAGGAAGCAAGAAATTAATATGGAGTAGCCAAGGATGGGGAGCGCTGATATCAAAGTGATATTACTAAAGATGATATTACTAAAGAAGTCTAGACAATCTGAAGCAGAGGGTAGTTCAGACTGAAAGCCTCTGGGATCAAGCCAATCTGTAGCAAAGGAGAGGCCAAATTGAAAATCAGAGACGAGAGAACTAAAGCTATAAAGACTGTTTCTTGCGGTGGGGGCACTGTTAGAATTTCTTCTCCTCCTTCACCCTCCACGTTAAAATGCTAATAACAGATCTCTGCATTTGAAGAGAATGTTTGTACAGGTGATACAAAGAGGAAGGAACACTGGTATAGGTAGGGGAGAGAAAAAAGCAAATATTTCTGAGCATGGTGATGGAGAACAGACCAGCGGGGAGGCAGGGAGTGAAAGATCAGGGAGGTATATGTTTGTGCCAGGTATATGTATGCGAGGGAGACAGACATAAAGAGAGTGCAATTACAGTGCCAGTCAGGAGGGAGAGATGTGCCGTGCCATCACGCAGCCCTTCATACTTGTTATTCTGGGCGGGAGCTAATGCTGGTGACTCCAACAGGGATGCAGTGATACCAGCGGAAGGAGCTGCAGCAGTCTTTAGGAGGAGGGGAAGCTCTGAACCTGTGTCTCCTCTATTCCCCTGACGCTCCCATGACTTGCTTTTTCTCCTGAGGAAAAGGAGAGCCTCATGACCAGCTGTGGAGAGTCACCTCCCTTCGTAGGGGAAAAAAATGGGGAAGGAGAGAGGGAGAAAATATGTACTCAATACATTTATAACCTGCCTTTCCTCCAATGAGTTCAAGCCTGCATATTTACCTCTCCTCTTCCCTGTGCAAGCTTTGGATGATGGGAAATGTAGTCTGATACCTGGTGAGCCACATGCTCCCATGATGTATGGATTGCAGCGCGAGGAGTGGCTATTTGGGGTTTGTATTGTCGAAGGCTTTCATGGCTTTCATTGAATTGTTGTAAATTTTCCAGGATGTATGGCCATGTTCCAGAAGCATTCTCTCCTGATGTTTCACCTGCATCTATGGCAGGCATCCTCAGAGGTTGTGGGGTATTTGGGGGTTGCTTGTTTGTTTATTGTTTGCAGAAATGACATAGTTGAGAGGCCAAACTCACAGTCTCTGTTCCTTCTGATTAAGATGAGACCAGAAATTAGTGATGGAAGGTAATGAAGTGCATTGGATCATTCTCTAATGTACCTTTGTATCTTTGCAGCTGCCCAAGTAACTCCGAAGAGTGGAAACTGGACAAGTTCAATATCTGGGTGAGCAATTTTGACACGGATTTCGATAACAGTCCTGCTCCCATCATGATGAAACCCCTGAAAGTTAGCCGAAGATTTGACAACTTCTTATCCAGGCATTGGAAAGCCATTCAGAACCACTGAACCTCTTTGGCAGGAGGACATATTCCGTTGCGGCAGGCGATTCCCTCGGGATTTCAGCGGAGACCACCGCTGCTCTCATCCTGCCACCCCTGCTTTGCTACACATGGACCCAGCAATACCCTGGATGGCAGATTGGGTGCCCTACTTCCAACTCGCTGCTCCTCAAGTGCGGACTCAGATCCCCAGGGACTTGATGGTGGTATCATTCTACGCTCCTGCCTGGCATTGACCCAGACTGGTTGGCATCCTGGATCCAGCAATACAGAAGAAACCTGATAGCCATCCCTTGAACCAGTGTGTTGACCAGGTGAGACTGATTTGGTAGCAGAGGGGGGAGGCACAAAATAGGAACATTCTTTGTAAGGAAAGCAATCTCTGGCCTTCATAACAGAAGGAAATACCAATTTTATTAAAGTTTCACTGTTATGATCAGGGAAGGTGGTGGCGCTGAAGCATTTACCTGCCCACATGTGTAACCAAAGATCTGAGAAGTAGTAATTGTTTCCATGGCATACCAGGACTGAACCTGTAACTAAGGATATATAATTGATGTGATTGTATATAATTTTATATTCTAATTTCCTTGGAGTGGGAACTGTTCGTTCTCTTGCTGTGGTGTGCTATTAAACACAACATAATAATATGTAAGTACAGTTAGCCCCCAGTATCCATGGATTCTGCATCCAGGGATTCAACCAGCCATGGTTCAAAAATATTTTTATTTGAATCCAAAGGTAAAATATTCCATTTGCAATTTTGTATAAGGGATGCCACTTTTGGACACTATATGTGAGTATCTATGGATTTTGGTATCCATGGCTGTTCTGGAACAAAACCCCAGAGGATCCTGAGGGACCATGCATCCCTTTCTTCCAGCTTTTTTGTCGACATATGATGTAAACTTGCCTTTATTTTTTTCCTCCCCTGTCAGTATGGGCAGTCCTTAATCAGCAGTCAATATGGGTGGCTCTTAATCTCTTGGGTCCAAATACAAATGCACAGAGATCCCAACTGCATTGTGCTGTCAGAAATGCTGCTAAACCTTTCCCATCTCTGAAAGTAAGACTGCCTAGACACCATTGTCATTAAAACTATATGAAAAACCTCACAGATCTTCAATTATAGGGGAAAGTGTGGATAATTCATTTTGGAGGGCCCAACTCCCAAAATTCATTGAGTATGTAGCCATGCTACCTGTGGGATCCAGAGAGTTACCATTCAAAAAAGATTTTTTGGAGCCCTTCTTAGAGAGGTGGTCCATTTCCATTCAATATGCTCAATTAACAGTTAGTGCTTTTGGGATATGCGAGTCACAGTCATGCTGGCCAAATGACCTTGGAGGTGTCTACAGACAACACTGGCTCTTCAGCTTAGAAATGGAGATGAGCACCAACCCCCAGAGTCGGACACGACTGGACTTAATGTCGGGGGAAACCTTTACCTTTTTTTTTTTTACCTGTAAACTCAGAGACAAAACAAAGATGATTGAGGGCTTTTATACATGGACTAAAAATCATACTCACTTCATAAGTGCCACGATCCTGACATGACATTCTTGATCATTCACTTGCATTACGGCTCATTAGGCTTGCATGTGGTTCATTAAAATCCTGTATTTTAACTTGCAGTTTCACAGATAATCCAGATGTTTGGGGCATGTGGTTAGTTAGTGATGGATAGGACAGCTTGGTCGAAGATTATCATTCCCAGCAAAAAGTGGTTCTCTCCCAGGTTGATTTAAAAAGAAATTAAGAAGGTGTATATTTGCAGATACTTACATATTAAACAGAGCCACTGGAGGAATTGCTGAATAGCGAGTCAAAATTTCCATCTTGTTGACTGAGTAGATATTTCTGAGGTGGATTTTTGAGGATTTGATTGTCCATGAGCTTAATTAAACTATCCTCTTTAGGAATTTTGTGTCCTTCAGAGTGACTCTATGGTCAACCTTCTCCAGTCATTCTTCAGGACCTGGAGATTCCTAGAAATAAAACTATGTAACAAAATTTGAAACATTTTCTATTCCTAGTTTTAAAGTGTTATTTTGTTTAATTGTACGGTACTTTGAAAATAGTTGTTACACTCCAGAAACTTTGTTTTGTGGCTACCACAAACTATGATGAATTGGTTGAGACTATGTGATATTCATTGAAAACCTATTTCAAAATGTGCTGTAGGATGTCCCTCAAAAACAAAGTTTTTGTATTTTTATAGACTTTACCCATATTTTTATGATAGAACCAATTAGGAAATGACATGTATAACACAGGAACAAGAATCGTTACGTAATGTAATCACTCTCTCTGAATCTCTAGGTTTTCCACTGTGATGTTATGGTTGGCTTCCAGTGGATATTGAACATAGAGTTGTACTGGAGAATATAGATAGTCTTTGAGGGATATTCCTTTGGGTAAAAATATAGCAATTTCTTTATTTGCAGCTCTCCACTTTCATGGGGGTATTGTGCCCCGGAGAACAGTGAATGTGGAGGGCTGACCATACTTTAGTTGGGACTAAATAATTAAATGTTGGCCCAATGTTGGCAGAGGAGTGTGTCCTTCATGTCTAAACCACTCGCTGCCTCCAGCCTCCTTTACAGATCCACCACCTCCCCCCCACCTTTTAGCACATTAAAATGGCTGACTAACAGATTTACTGTGGCATAAATTTTTGCGGACCAGAGGGCACTTCATCACAATTAATCTGCTGGGCTATTAAGGAGCTGCAGCGAGCGATGGCTCCTTTGTGTTTGCTTTGACAGACAAACACAGCTGCCCTTCTGGAAATATTTTTAGAACAGAATTAGGAATGAGGGGTTTTCAGAGCAACACTTGAGGGAGAGAGGGCTAGACAGGCGCCCTTCTTCATAATGAATCAGCTGGCCACACACCAAGCGCAAGCCACACGTTTGTCACTGTTGCAAAAGGTTGTTGGGTGTCAGTGCCCTTTCGCACTGCACAGGCATAATACTCTGATGCCACTTTAATTGCCATGGCTGTGTCTTAGGGATATGTAGTTTGGTGAAGCGCTGGAGCTGTCTGGTCAAGAATGCTAAAATTCAATTTAAGGGAAATCATAGTGCTACCACTATGTAGTATGAAAGGGCACATTCTGAGGAGCCCATGACATTGCCCTATCTTTGCCAATCTGGTCTGTCTGTCTAGAACAAGCCTACACAACTTGACAGTTGTAAAGGGCTCACTAATAGTAAAAGAAATCTTCTACGAGCCATTCTGTGGTCTGGTTGTTGTTGTTGTTGTTGTTGTTGTTGTTGTTATTATATTCCTCCTCCCTCCCTACCTCCCTGGTAGCAATAAAAGGGCCAACCAGTAAAACCCAGCCCTCTCCATGGGCCACAGGGAAGCCCTTTGTGGGCCACATGTGCCTCACGGGCCAAATATTGTTGTGCAGGCCTGATCTAGACCCAGAGTTGGAAGAGACCCCCAAGGGCCATCCACTCCACTCCCCCCACCCACACTCATAGGACAATATAATCAAAGCACTCCTGACAAATGGCCATCCCACCAGAAAAGGAGACTACTACACTCTGAGGCAGTATGTTCCACTGCCAAACTGCTCTTAATGTCAGGAAGTTCTTCCTAATATCTAGGTGGAATTTCCTTTCTTGCAGTTTGAATCCCTCACTCAGTGTCCAACAAGTTTACCCTCTCCTCAGTGTAACATCCTTTCAAATATTTAAGCATGGCTATCATCTCCCCTGTCAGTCTTCTTTTCTCCAACTAAACATGTGTTAATTCCAGGTGGGGTCCGTCCAAAGCAGAATGAGACTGTGACTTCCTTTGATCTTGACAATGTATGCCTATTGATACAGCCTAAAATCACATTGGCTTTTTGAGCTGCCGCATCACACCGGTGACTCATGTTCAGCTCGTGAACTACTAAGACAACTAGGTATTTTTTCCATGTACTGTTTTCAAGCCAAGTGTCACCCACCCTATCTATCTGCATTTTATTTAATTTTTTTCTGCCTTAATGCAGTACCAGCTATTTCTCCCTGCTGAAATTCATTTTGTTAGTTTTTTCCCAGCTTCCTAGTCTTTGAAGGTTATTTTTAGATTCTGATTTTATCTTCTGGGGTATTAGCTATCTCTCCCAATTTGGTGTCATCTGCAAATTTAATAAGCATATTTATTTATTTATTTATTTACAGTATTTGTATACCGCTTTTCTCACCCCGAGGGGGACTCAAAGCGGGGGACTCAAAGAATATCCTCTGATCCATCATCCTGTCTGTCTATCAGCTTTTCTATATGTCTGTCTGTCTGTCTATCTATCATCTATCATCTATCTAATATGTCACCTTTCACCTGAAGTGAAACCCAAGGTGACTAGTGGGGACTGAAAAGAGTAGCCATGTTTTTGTATCTTTATAAACATTATATATGTCTTTCTGTGGGAGTAAGAACCATGGTTCCCATAGAACAGTGGTTCTCAACCTGTGGGTCCCCAGTTGTTTTGGACTACAATTCCCAGAAATCCCAGCTACTTTACCAGCTGTTAGGATTTCTGGGAGTCGAAGGCTAAAATATCTGAGGACCCACTGGTTGAGAATCACCACAATAGAGAAATCTTGCTCTTGTCCTTGAAGAGGCCTTTTTCCACACAGATGACAAATTGGGGCATAGTCAGAAGGGATATTGAGGTCGAAAAGGCATGGCTTGCAGGCACAATCCTTTTCCACTTTGAGTATGAAGGCATTCAAATAATGGGTGTTAAAATCTCAGCTAATACATTCCCTCAAAATGGTGTGAGAGTAGCATTTACAGAGAGAGAATAAGCATTCCCAGATCATGTCTGCAAATGCTTCTCCTTACAAGAATCTACAGAGTCCCCGGGGACACAGTGGGTTAAACTGCTGAGCTACTGAACCTGAATTTGCAGGTTCAAATCCAGGGAGTGGCATGAGCTCCCGCTGTTAGCCCCAGCTTCTGCCAACCTAGCAGTTTGAAAACATGCTAATGTGAGTAGATCAATAGGTCTACTCACTCTAGCGGGAAGGTAATGGCACTCCATGCAGTCATGCTGGCCACATGACCTTGGAGGTGTCTATGGACAACGCCGGCTTAAAAATGGATATGAGCACCAACCCCAGAGTTTGGCACGACTAGACTTAATGTCAGGGGAAAATCTTTACCTTTTACAAGAATCTACACAATTGGCTACCATCTCTCCACTCTGGGTTCATTTCTAATTTCTAATTTCTGAGCCATGGTTATAAAAAACACATTCCACCAATATCCCTCTAAAAGTCCCTCTGCCTTGTATTGCATATCTTGGTGTTACATT